ATGGATATGGATATGGATATGGATATGGATATGGATATGGATATGGATATGGATAGTGATAGTGATAGGGACATAGATATGGAAATGGATATGGATACGGATGGGGATAGTGATAGGGATATGTATATGGATATGGATAAGATGAGTACGGATAACCATATGGAAATTGATATATATATTTCGATTGATATGTTCATGCCAGCTCACTTATACGTACATTTTTCTATATGCATGAAAAACTTCCTCAGAACTCATATATTCATTCATAAATTGATGTAAGAGTATTCAAAGATTCGTTGTTGGGCAATTGATATTCAAAGCGTTGCCATTTGGTTGCCCAAAGCTGTTTTGCACCTTTTGGTAGAGTCAAAAATGCTTTTTGCTGTTGGCAAAAAAAAAAAAAAACACACACACTGACACACAGGCGAAAAAGATGGCCAGAAAGCGAAGCGGGGCCAGCTCGGAAGGAGAGAAAATGTGGTGAGAACGGAATTTATGACCACGAGCCTTCAAAGGGCCAAGCAGCCTAAATGTTTTGCGCCAGGCAACGTCTGTCCCAGACATGCCAAATAAAAAACACTGCAAGCCACGCCAAGAGGCACAACGTCAGAGAGAGAGAGAGAGAGATGGAGAGAGAGGGAGAGATAGCGGGGGTAGTGGTAGATGCCAAGAGGTGTTACGTAGAGGGAGTTACGTAGTCAACAAAATTGAAACAAAAATATTTTCATTTGTTGCGTTGAAAATTTCATGCACTGCGAGCACGGCAATTACAGAGACCCCCAACAATATAAAAACAGAAAAAAAATACACGCTGTGTGGATAGGTTGTAGGGGCACTGAGGGTGCTCAGGAGGGGTGCTTGGCTACCCTCGCGGGCCTCCTATGTGGGCAGCCCTTGAGCAAACTATGTGAAATAGTCGTAATATCCCGTCATCATCTCCAGCTCGAGCCCAATAAATTTGGCCAATAAATGCACCACCGCCCCACCAAAGCCACGCCTACTTTGTGAGTGTTAGAGGCGGGACGTAAGGGGGCGGCATGAGAGTATGGCCTCTGATTTATGCAGTGCCATAAAACAAGCGAAGAATCGCCTTAAAGCTTGCAGCCAACACGAAGACAAAGAAAGGAGAGAGGGAGAGGGAGAGAAAAGTATATGAAGAAGAAGCAGAAGAAGGAGGACTGTCTCCCCAATGGTAGCTGCTCCCAACTAAAGCCAGAGTTGAGTTCTTGCTGGCTGAGCCTTCGCTGGCAGCCAGCTCAACGTGTTGCGACGCGTCGCTGTCAAAGCGAAACGAGTTGGCAGCGCAAATAAGACAAGCTAGACTGCTCCAGTGGGCGGTGCTCGACTAGAAAATACCCCAACTCGCATTATGTTGGGATAGGCTGCGCTCACTTGATGCAGCTACTGCGCTTCTTCTTCCTACAGCTGCCACTTTATGGAAATTATTTATTATCTGAACACTATATAGCTTTGATTCTACTTGTAGAGCCTTAATATTTTGATTAAGAACGGGGTATATGTACCAAAGATCGAAAATCCATAGTCCCAAATGAGCTTGGCTTACAGAGATTCAATGAAGCTATTCCATGTAGTATAAATCAGCTATGTACTTACATATTTATTCAGCTAAAGAGAGCATCGCATACATCCAAGTAAAAATAATCCAATAAAATTGCCGTTCAGAGAGACGAATAAACGAGCAGACAGACATGGTTAGATTGATCGAGTTCTTCATTGAGCTCAAGAGCACACATATACCACCTCAGATTCCCACACCATCTGCCTTCAATATTTACATATAACTCATATACCCCGCTTACCCATTTACAGGGTATACTGAGGAAAAAAATGGCGCTTGCACTGAACTCTATTGCACTTTCGCTTATGCGACTCAAGAGCTTTGAGTGAAGCGCTTTAAGGCTAATTTTTGGGGGAATGGGTTTATAAGCGCTTAGGCTAACATTTCGGAACGATGTGTTGTACGGCTGGCTGTTAGCTTTAAAGTGCACGCTGTTAAAGAGCTGATACAGTTACTGTTTTAACAGCAAATGTTGTGATGGTGCTTCTAACTTAACAGACAGTAACACTTAGTTACTATAGAGCTGCTATAGATCTATATAATTAGTTGGCATGGCATAGCAATGTTAATGTAAAATATCTGCCCCAACTGTTAAGGTAGTCTGTAATAAATTGAATTGCTTCTGTTATACTTTGGCTCTGTTAAGTTGCATAGGCGTAATTAGCATAGTATTGAAATGGTTATGTTAATGGGCAAAGCTACTGTATGTTAAATGAAATGTTATGTTATGCCTCTGTTAAGTTGCATCGGCGTAATTAGCATAACATGTTAAGGCTCACAAGCAAAGCTGCTGCATGTTAAATGAAATGGTTTGTTAAGGTTCTGTTAAGTTGCATTGGTGTAATTAGCATAATATTATTAATGGTCATAGGCAAAGCTGCTGTATGTTAAATGAAATGTTATGTTAAGGTTCTGTTAAGTTGCATTGGTGTAATTAGCATAAGATTGAAATGTTAATGCCCATAGGCAAAGCTGCTGTATGCTAAATGAACTTGTTTGCTTCATCTTATATAACTCTGCAATGCTATGTCTCTGTTAGGTTACATTGGTATGCTATGTTAACAGAATACAGCCTTATTGCTCTAGGGTCATGCTGGCAAGCGCAGCCACATCTTAACTGCAGCTCACGTCGTCTTTCTATGGATTCTCTAGAGTCATCAGCGTTATAATGCATCTACTCTCTCCTATTTCTCCTCTTCTTTTCTTTTTCATTCTTATGCTCGCTCGGGGTGAGAGTAAAAGGAGTTTATTGGTTTTTTTTAATTTTTTATTTGACTGTAGAGATAAATATATATGTATATATAATCCATAGTATGTTGAGGGCTGTCAGTGAAATCTGTAGTCGAGCTGGAGCAAAGAATTTGGGCAAGTGAATTGCTAAATAGTTTCTATGGCATTCATCTCCTATTCGACTTACCAAGTATTTCCTGAGTTTTATGGTTTAACTGGGAATGGGGATTCTATGCCTACCAGGGCGTTAGGCAAGTGCTCCTCGGGATCTGTTGGAATTCCTGAGCCAGTATCAAGCAGTCATTAATCTCTTCGCATTGTAATATTCTGACTCACTTTCATAACATCTCTTGGCCTTTTGTTGCACTCATTATGGAGCAGCGTCTGCTTG